ATCAAGTTCGAGACCGCTTTTGATGCTTCTAAACCAGATTTCGAAATACGTGATAATTTTGTTTATATTACATGTTATATCACAAATCAAATTATGTTTGAGTTTAACGTATAATTTAAAAATTATCAGAAATTACCAGCTATACCAATTAATATTTTCCATCCTGTATTCCCCAACGTTAATCCATCACTTCACGAATTGTGACTAACAAAAAATTTACCAATGTTTTCGTCTTAGCAATTTACTATCGCTCTCTAAGAGGTTACTCCGTTTGAAGAAAATGTTTAGACCGTTTTTTTTCTACAATTGTTTGCAATCCGCGATTTTTTCTCCTTTCCCTCCTGAGTGCTCTCTCTCACCGCGCCGTTGAAAGCGCCCGTAAAGGAGCCCATCTGGGAGTAAGCCTGCAGCAGGCGCTTCGGGTTGCGCGGGGCGCGGGTCTCCCTCGGGCCAGTGCGCGCGACGCCGGCTTCGCGACCCCGCAAGGACGCGCGCCTGCCCCCGAAGAGGTCCTGACCGCCGCCGCCGCTCGCGGTCGATGCGGGTCAATGTCTCCTGGCCTATTTGTGGGCGGGCCGCACGTCACGTAGCCGGCCCGCGGTGAATCGTTGAGCGTATCGACCGGCCGCCCCGATTCCGCTCGCGCATGTGGGGCGCCGCGCCGCGCCGCGCCGCGCCGCGCCGCTCGCCCGCCCGCCCTTTGTCTCCCCCGTCCTCGGGCAACGCGCCCACTGCCCACGCGCCGGGCCGCTCGTCTTCTGGGCTTTGCAACTCTCCATCAAAACACGAGACAAAGCTCCAGGGTGCTACTCTAGAAGGCGCTGGGTACAGCTGCAGCTTAGGCTCGCCAACTTCCGCATATAAAAAATTGGCTAATTTGTGACAAATAGGAAAAGTTTTTTAATATTAAATTATTCATAATATACACATATTTAAAAAAAACTGAAAAAAGCGCGAACATCGTAGCTGTCTTTTGTAACATTATGGGCCTGCTTGCGACGGGCAAACTCACGCAGCAGCCACGCACTTTTGAAGTATCGTTGGCAGCAGTCTGTATTTTATTTAGTTCATGAAAGAAAGTGCTGCAGCAGAGCGCGCCACCGTAATGGTTTCCACCACGTTATACGGGTTATATAAGGCCGTGGTCTTCTTGGTCGATTGGTAAGGTGGTGTTCAGGGGTTGGTCAACCATTTACTCCGTTAGTCCGTTAATTGGAAAGAGTGTCATTTCGTTGGGAGAGCGGTATTCCCTCTTTCCTTTTTGGAGCCAGAGACCTGAAGTAGTAAGAGTCGATTTGCGGCATTCTCTCTACTCAATGTATCCGGTTTACATGTGTGAGGAAGGGCACATCGCGCTAGTTTTATACCATTCTTTTCTTCTGTTTCTTTTAACTGTAGTTCAAACATTTCCTATGCGATTCATTCTGGACTATTTGCAGCACATTTGAACCTAGGATGATAAGTGTCTGGAAAACATTTTCCAAGTGTCTTTCCTATAGGAGGATGGAGGTAGTCATGGATGAATGTTCATGGCTTTTTTCATTTATTTGAGGGAACCATTGGTTCTTGAGGAATTAGGAATTGGTCGTACCTCATTATACCATTAATCATACATACATTTCAAAACCCATGAATAAACATCACACTTGAAATAATTACTTTTGTCAGGTGCTTCGTCGGGCATACAATCCGTTATGTCAAGGAAAAAATGGTCTAATAATTTTAAACATTTTAAAAGTACTCATATTATTTGGCTACTTTTGCACGTAAATCGGAATTTTGATAAGAGTTATTTCCTTTCATTCCATTGTTATAAAGTGTTTCATTGATAGGGGGCATACTTCCTTTCATAGTTAATTTGCCTTTCTCGTATTCAGTATTACGTAGTTTTTAACTTATTTATCTCTTTTAGGTGCAAAACTTGATTGTTCTTGAGATCGACATTATGGTCAGAAAATGAAGTTATAGTCCATATCGTTGTACATCTTCATTCAACGTCCTTTTATTCAGGAATTTTAACAACCACGTCAGTTAAAGGGAATAGATGTGAGCAATGGAGAATGACAATTTCTCATACATTTAATGAAGATGAATTATATTTCAACTGAAGATGAATTATGTTGTTCATGGTAGACATACTTGTTGGTGAGCAAGGATATCCAGTGCACTTCCTGAAACATCAGAGAAGCAAATCCAAAGAACTATTTTAAGATTGTATGGAACGTAAACATCAGTTCATGTTCTTGAAGTCAAACTTCAGTCATGAAGTCAAACATTTTACGTAAACGAAAAAAGCATCGGAGGTGAATACTTAACGTCTTGATAGACCTCGATGTATAGTACTCCAAAAAAATCACACATTCTGAACGTTTCGTGAATCCTAAATCTGGTCAACAGGCTACTTGTGTAGTTACTTAATCAGATCATCCACAAGAAGTGATTAATGGGTGGAGAAAATGAACAGAGAAACACAATATCTGTGTACCCACAGAAATCGCCGCAAAATTTAATTCCAAGAAGAAGAAAAACTTGGGACGTTCGTAGATTAGCTCTCGGTTCAACATCTGCTACACAGTCAATTTGGAGTGTGTTATGTGAATGCCGGAGCAAGACGACCCAGCATATCCTAGTAAACAGTTCACCAGACGTACTCGGATTGAAGTTGCCCTAAAAAGCACTCAATACCGAAGCCGACGCTGAAGTAGCGCTGTGGTGCAGCGTGGCCCATGCGCGGCCCGCCCAGCCCGGAGGGCGGGTCCTCGCCCTCGCCCCACCCCCTCCCCCGCTGCTTCCGAAGAGAGGTCTGCGGCGCCGCGGGCGCGCAGGTCCTTCCGCGCGTCCATGCGCTCGCGGCAGCGGCGCTCGCAGGCCCAGGCCCAAGCCCAGGCCCAGGCCCAGGCCGGCGCTGTGAGCGCGCACGTCGCCCGGGGGCCCGCCCTGCCGCTGCTCGCGCTGCTGCGCCGCCTGCTCGACTGGACCCACGACCCCAAGGTGCGCCCGCTGCCCCCCACCCACCAACTAGCAGGCTGCTTTGCTCTTCGACCGCGATGCATCCCTAATACGTTGCTCAATATCAATTCGTTTGACCAACCATTCACTCACTCGGTTGCTTCACTCATTGATTAGTTCATTAATTTATACTTTCGTTTCTTCGGACGATCATTCATCCAATCCAATCCAATCATCCATTGTTTACGCTAATTTTTTTCATTAAGTAGTTTTGTGCAGAACCTGCTTTCCTGAATCGTTCAATATGTGTAATTTTTGTGTTAATACTCTTAATTAGTTCAAGAAATCATATCTCATTACAATGACTAGCCCTTTTTACGCGTGTTATAAGAAGCGTTACGTAGGTACTTTTTTATGCTTCAAGTTTTTCAATTTTTAAATTGTCGAATTTAATTGTTTTACAGATTAAAATATCATTTTTTAAATGTATTTTATATCAAATTGTAAATGTTTATAATAAATGTCATAATAAAACTATACAAATGAAAAATCGTGCAATAGTTTGATTGTGAATAAACTACGAATTTGAGAAAAAATTCTACATTTAAAAAAAAACAATGTCAATTCGGGTCTGAAAATAAAAATATTTCATGACCTGGCTGTTAATTAAATTACATGATCTTTACTTACTGAGAAACTTCACAGCAATACCGAAAATTAATGGTAATATCTTAGGATTCCTAATAACACTTACAGAATATTTTCAGACTCTCGCTTCTCTTATGATAGCTGATTCTTCGCAATTTTCCTATAATACACTCGATCCTTACTTTGAGCAATTCATTAGAGAATAAAAATTACGAGAAACGGTAAAATGATGCTGTAATCCTGCAAGCATACAATTTTAAATAAGCAATTTTTTGCTCGATGAGGACAGTTCTGTCTGCCGAAAGAACTATTATTTGTGTTGTAGGAAATTGACGCAAAACGAGTTGTCCTGGGAACTGTTGTAACCTACGAAAGGACGAACCACATAACACTGCACTTAAGAGAAAAGTCATGCACCACTAGCGTTGCGAAGTGGTAGACACATCATTGGGCAAATTCCCCCGTAGGGACTTTGTATTATTTTGGTATTAGATATGATAAGACACAAATTATTAAAAAATATCGATTCGTCGATGTTCCCAAACTTCGAATATTGTTACTTGAAATAATCATGTATGATTTGAAATATTAGAAATGGTGTAAGCTTTGCTTACAAAATTATGTGTGGGGATTATATAGTATAAATCGTCATGAGTGTATTTTTCACGAAAAAATATTTAATTTTAACTTTTTCAGTGCGCTGTTTTCTGAATGTGTGCCAAGTGCGTAGTAAAAATGCGTCTTGCAGTGGCAAAAATGCTGATAAAGAGCGCTTGCAATTTTTTCTATATTATTCTATCGACATTAACAGCTGGTGTCTGTTAAGAATTTTTTATCGGTTTGCTGTCTGTTAACAATCAAAACAAGTGATGGCATGCGAGTACTTATTTTCCAAGTAAATGCATTTCTTTTTTGTTATTTTTTCTTAAACTTAAAAAGGTGGTATTACGAAAATGCACATCTTATATCACAAATAACTCACTTCGTTGCTTATAAATGTCAGCAATCGCCTCCGTTTATAAACTACAACCTTGTGTTATTAGCTCTATATCGGCTTAATGATATCAATAACTGTAGCATTCAATGTTACGGCCGATAATGCATCAATAAAATTCTATTCACCCTTGTCTCCACCGCTCCCAGTGGAATCAAAACCAAAACATTGCCATCCTCCGAGGGTGCGCCTAAACAATGGCACTGGGAGCGCCCGCGCTGTGCGCTGCTCTCTCCCGCGGGGAGGAGGATGGTGGATGGGGGGGGGAGGAGGGGCGGTGGCACGTGACCGGTCAAGCGAGCGCGGTCTGCCGCGGAGGGGCGCGTGGCGTCCGCTCGCGAGGGCGAGGGCGGGGCCGAGCCGGTCGCCGGCCGTCACGCTGACGCCCTGGTGCTCGCGTGTGTTGCAGGAGCTGGGCTCGCAGCCGCTGCCAGTCATCAGCGTCACCGACGAGGCGGACGGCAACATGGCCAGCGCGGACCACGGCCGACCACGTGCCGGTGAGTGCGCCAACACACCATTTATTTATTATTTATTTATTTAAGACTCTCTGTTCGTATTCAAGCCATTTTATAATGAATATATTTCCTTTACAAATTAAACAAAAGGTTTTAAATATTAAGCTAAGGAACGAATTAATTTCAATTTGTGAAATTATTTAATTTTTTTAGTTTTTAACACTGCTAACGAGTTCTTAACAGATTATTTATTTTGAGGTTGACGACAGTGATTTTATAAATTACGTCCACTTTACTTTTGAAAATGGTACGTTTCAGTAAGAAAGGCACACACAATGCAAATTGAATTGTAATCTATACGTTAAGAGTACTTAATAATTTACGCACCATATTCCAATTATTTCTTGTATATGTGTGCCCAAGGGACAGGCATTGGTTTAGTACCTTTCCTTGCTATTGATTATTTACAATTTTCTTCAATTAGATAATCATATATCAACATGTTATTTCGATATGAGAAACATAGTATTCTGAAATGAGTAAATGATTCATTTAACCAACAATACGTTATGACAACAAATGGTTTTGGATGGACGAATGAAGGAGTTAAAGTCTTTTACATTTGTTTCTAGAAAGAAAATTCTCTATTGTATAGTTCATGAAAATCAAATTAATATTTTAAAATGGCATTGTTAAGGTTTCCTTACCAGCGAAATAAAGGGCTAGTTGCTGGTTCATAAGTCTTATAAATTAGGTTCATAATAAATTTATTGCAAATCAATAACATGTCACTTTGTAGGGTTTTTTGACGAGTTGCTCCAAAATGTTACTATTAAAGGCTGGAGTCTGCACTTCAATACTCCCTTCAGACTATTGAAAAGTTAGAAATTTTCAGCCTAGACAATGCTAGCTTAAGTGCATTTGCCCGTCTGTTTCACATTCCTGTAACAAATATTATATTCAGTAGATTCGATTAAACGTGGAAATGCTTTTCGTTTTCTTTCTCCGCGTTCTCATTCCTATACCGTATTATGTAGTATTGTGAATTGCAGTAATTTCTTTTGTGTCATTGCCATTCTAAACACCTCACAATCCTTCTCGTGATCGAATTTTAGTTTAGTTCAGAGTGAAATTTGCGATATTCTAGAACAGGGGTTCCCAAACTTTTTTACCAGGCCCCCTTTTGTCAATAGCAAAACTTTTCACGCCCCCTTACGCGTTTTTATTTGGTAATGAATCAAACAAATGTTACATTCAGAAACAATACATTAATTTTTTATTTCTTTACAATTTTACTAGTTGGTTATGGTTTTTTGACGTCTTGTTGAAATTTTCGTTGCTTTTTTGTTAGGTCAAGAAAATGCAATAAGATTTATGTGTAATTAATTTTACAAAATGAAATTTAAATGAAACAGGGGACAAGAAAACTTAGTGAGAAGGATGAGCTTACATTTTTTTACCAGCTTTCCTATTCTTTGTTGAGTATCAGAAAGTGCACAACATAAATCATTAGCTATGTCAAGTTCGCCCCGATACTTTGATTTAATGGCAAGAAGTGATGAACACGCTTTCTCACACAAATTGCTCAATACTGCTTAGCAAATAGCACACTGAGGATGTTCAACGCTATCCGTAAGCGTACAAATAAATCCATATTTAATATAATCATGTTATACTTGCATTTTTTGTTAGCCTCATCTTGAACGATATCTTATGTCACAAATCGCATAAAGCAACAAAGCAACAAGGGGGATAATGGCAAATAAATTGAAATAGATGTAGCCTTGAACTGTTTGCATTAGTAAGTAAATACTTCGGTGCAATCAGTCTCAGATTTGTCAGTGCGTATTTTTTTCTTCTGGAGTGGGCCAAAACGGGACAATTGTGTTGCATCTTCAGTTTGATGGCAACTTCGTTTTGTCTCAAAGATATTCGTTTTGTCGCATGATAAAGATCGAATAATATGCCACACAAGTTTATCAAAAAACTAGTTCTGAATGTTCGTCGAGGGAAAAAGATGCTATGTTGTTTCTAAAAAAAATATGAATTCATTTTTACACAAGTCTCGGCTATTAGTTGCTGGAAATATTTCTCTTGGAAATGTGAAAAAGTATGAAAACAAAGTATAAATACAGTGGGAGAGTTTCTGAGAGAATCTGAAAGCACGATAGCTCATATCTTTTAGGCATCGTATTTCATGGGTGTTCAAACTTTTATTTATATAATGTTACTGGAACACACATTCAAACAAATATTTGAAGTGTGATAAAATATCACCCTCTCTAAACAAGTGTTCATCAGGTTAGTTTTATGCTCTAAACGTAAAAACGTTTGTAGGTATATAATTGAAGAACTGCACACGAAGTTAATCTTCGGTGAAGCACAGTACGCCTTGCCTATCCTTAAGTGGTCCGAACATGTAGTCAATTGCTGAAGGGCAGGCTTTCTGGACAGTCCACTTCGGACGAATTTCTCCCAAGTTAGAGTTTCAACATGGGGTCTAGCTTTTACGTGCAAGAATTGATTTCATGTTTGGTCTCTCACTCTTTGATGTACTGAGTGGAAATGCGGATTAGTTATCAATGTGGAGAGTCTCCACACTATTTCACCTCTAGTATACACATCACGCCTTGCATTGCATCTCTCGCTGCGAAAAATAAGGTCGGTTTATACGTTTATGATCCCCCCCAATCACTGTGTTTCCTCTTACTGAAAGAATGTTTCGTTGTTTTTCTAATTGTATATACACTACACGATCATCGTTTTTACGTTGTCTTTATGTCCTTCCTTGTAAAAATATTTACAGTTTGGTTCAGTTTAAACAAATGGCCGTTTTTATTATGACGCGTGGTGGTTGGGTGTGTCCTATCACGCTCCACTACTCGTCAGGTACGGCATCGTCAGAGTGTAGTCCGGGGCCACGCGGACTGACCAGGAGGGAAAATATATTTGAAATACGAAAGTGATTCGTGCCACAACCCACTTCACTCGGCTTGCTACTGCTCTAAAAATTATTAAACTGAATGTGAAAATTAGTTTTGGAAATATAACCATATTATTTACTATTTATACGAGACATTCGACCATAATTTGGAGTGAATTCGAAATAGTGTCATTCTGTACTAACGTTGGATACATTCGTTAGTCTATTTCAGAACTTCTCGTGCGAAATTATATTTCAAGGTCATATAAACATCTTCCTTATCCTTTAGAGTATTTTAACACTCTCCCGCAAAGAATAGAGTTATTCTTCAGAATACAAAACATCACAGTAGCATTTCATTCCAATTCCCACCCTATGCTGTGCTGCCTTTCAGTACAAAATAAGCATTCAAGAAAAAAGTCTTCTGAGCATCATTTTCCAACCGTGCATAACGCTTTATAACCAAGCTTTAGGTAGCCAAACGAGATTCTACTGTACTAAAATAAGTCAACCTAGTAATTGTTAATTAGTGTTTTGTTTTTTGAGTTAATTGATTCTAGCATACTATAGTCCCTAGTGATACGATTCTAGTAGTCGCGTACTCTGAAATAATGAATGTTAAGTAATATGGTCAACAGCAACTTTGTTTACTAAAGTTATAATTGTGTATATAATATTAAATATACACGTTTTCCTATAAACGTTTGAACGTGGTAATCCGATCAAAAGTTAAAATGGTGTAAAAGCACAAGATGCATTAAACAATCGGATAATTCTTTTTAAATAATATTGATCTGAAATTCGTTCCAGTTACTCGTACATTCTCAAATACCAAGGTTACATCAAGAGGTTTCTGATGTTTTCAGATACTTTTGCCATTACATTACTAATTTTGTTGATTTCAACATAGTTTGGTGTATATTTCAGTTATTTTATTTCATGAAGTTTTTTTCACGCTACGTTTATGTTTTTTAAACTACGGATTATGTTTACTGCAATGTACAGGGTGCGGCAGAACTGACTAAGCAGTTTTAAGGAGCAATAAAAAGTAAATCTGGACATATAGAGAGAAAATGTTTTTATTTTCTAAATTAGTACAATATACCATTTTACATTCATTTAGTTTTGAAAATAATGCCCGGAAGATGGCGACCCTTAACATCAATACATTGCTGTAGACGATCCCTGAAGTTTCGAGCAGCTCTTGCACACATAACGCGGGGTATGGCATTAACTTCGTCAATAGTCCGCATTTTTAACCCTGCTAGGGTGTGAGGGCGGCTTTTGAAAACCTTTTCCTTCAGATCTCCCCAAAGAAAGTAGTCACAAATGCTCAGATCTGGTGACCGCGTAGGCCACCCGACATCACCCCTCAAAGAGACGAGGCGTCCCGGAAACCTCTCTCTCAAAACATCAAGTGAAACTCGAGCTGTGTGAGCAGTAGCTCCATCCTGTTGGAACCACAAGTCCCCCAGTCCATGTTCTTCAGCAATCTCGCCCAATTTGGGTTGCAGAAAATTTCTCAACATTGAAACATAACGTCTGGAATTCACTGTCACGGTCACTTCTTCCTCCTCAAAAACGTAAGGGCTTACCACGCCAAATTTTGAAATGGCACACCACACTGTCACTTAAGGGGAATGTTGCGGTCTTTCGTGAATAATTCGGGGGTTATTTTCAGCCCAGTAACGAAAGTTTCGCTTATTCAAACATGAACCTACAAAGATGAAAATGTGCCTCGTCACTACTGAAGAAAGCTGCAGTCGGAGAGATCTGAGCAAGCATATGCTCACACAGATTTTAACGGTTGGCGTAGTCTGCTGGGCGTAATTCTTGTAATATATTATTTAATTCTTTCCAAAATTAAAATGCGCTTTGTAATAAATTTGTGTATAATTTTAATTGAATTTGTCACTTATTTATTCCGCGACTTTTGTAATTTTTCACTGTTAATATCCTTAATACTTTTCTCGCTATTTTGCAAAGTTGCTAATGAAGGTTACGCTCCCGAAGGAGACTGTTCCCCGTGGTAGTATGCAACCCGTGATACTCTCCTGTCATGTGTAAATGCGAGCCCCTGACGACCACGTATTCCTGTTAGCCCGAAACTTGATAAATG